ATGTTTGAACATGTCATGGTGATGCTGGTTTGTGAGGATATGCAATACATTTTTGATAACGAATAAGATAACTTATATGTGAAGTAAAACGCATGAATCATGAAGCTGTTCATGCTTTTCAGAACCTTTCTCAGAGCTGCAATTATGATTAATACAGAGTAATTTCATTCTCCTTGGTGGTCTTCTTGAATAGCCATCATGACTAATGCACACAGTTCCTTTCACATTGTTTAAAATGAATTGAAGTTGTGCTTCAGTGAATGGCTGGTGACTGCTGGGTAATTATTGTATATAGCACATCATTTTCCTGGCTAAGAATACATCTGTTTGTTAGAAAGCGTTTTATTTTGTTTTTTTCTTTCTTGGTTTTATTTTATGTTTTTTTTTTTTAATAATGTGTTTATTGTCATTTTTAAGAATCTTCTCACTTCACTCAAAATCCTTAAATCCATTTATTGTTATATGTTCATTCATTCATTTTCTTTTTTGGCTTAGTTGCTTTATTAATCAGGGGTTGCTACAGTGGAATGAACCACCAACTCACCCAGCATGTTTTACACAGAGGATGCCCTTCCAGCCGCAAATCATCATATGTTTTAAATATTTATTAATTTAAAGTTAAGATTGCATGCAGTAATGCAGAGACTATGAACTGATTAAATGTTATTCATGTTAAAAACCTTTTTATTCATTCAGGGTATAAAGATTTTTCTAAACATATAAAACAGAAATACAAGAAGTAAAAATATTTAAGCTGTCATAAATGTTATACTAATTCAAATTGCTATTATTTTTAAATTGCTGTCACTGACATAAAATGTTATTACAATGTTGTTTAAATAAAAAAATGAACCCTACAAAATAACGTTTTTATCAACTTATTCTGTATTTATCTGTTTTAGTTTAAAAGAAATCTTTATTAATAGTCTAGTATAGGGTTATTGCTGTCGATTAGTTTAGCAATCCATTATTTTAATTTAATCAATTAATTAGATGTAAGGTTGTTTTTCTTTATTAAAGTGCAATACTAAATATACAAGAACCTTTAAGAGATGTCACTTAATTAAACAACAAATTTATTTCTTTCATTTTTATTTAATTTTTACCTATTTCAAACAATTACGCACACACACACACACACACACACATACACACACATACACACTATATATATATATATATATATATAGTTGAAGTCAGAATTATTAGCCCCCCTGAATTATTAGTGCCCCATGTTTATTTTTTTCACCAATTTCTGTTTAATGGAGGAAAGATTGTTTCAGCACATTTCTAAGCATAATAGTTTTAAAAACTTATTTCTAATAATGGATTTATTTTATCTTTGACATGATGACAGTAAATATTATTTTACTTGATATTTTTCAAGACACTTCTATACAGCTTATAGTGACATTTAAAGGCTTAACTAGGTTAATAAGGTGAACTAGGCAGGTTAGGGTAATTAGGCAAGTTGTTGTATAACAATGGTTTGTTTTGTAGATTATAAAAAAAAAAATAGCTTATAGGAGCTAATAATTTTGTCCCAAAAATGTTTTTTTAAAAATTTGTAACTGCTTTTATTCTCGCCGAAATAAAAAAATAACACTTTCTCTAGAAGAAAAAAAAATATTATCAGACATACTGTGAAAATTTCCTTGCTCTGTTAAAAATAATTTGGAAAATATTTTAAAAAATAAAATAAAATCAAAAGAGGGCTAATAGTTCTGACTTCAACTGTATATATACAGAATTAATAGCCCCCTTTGATTTTTTATTTTCTTTTTTTAATATTTACCAATGTGTAACAGAGCAAGACAATTTTCACAGTATGTCTGATAATATCTTTCTTCTGGAGAAAGTTTTATTTGTTTTGTTTTGGCTAGAATAAAAGCGGTTTTAAATTTTTTAAAAAACATTTTAAGGTCAAAATTGTTAGTCCTTTTAAGCTATATATTTTTTCGATAGTCTACAGAACAAACCATCGTTATACAATAATATGCCTTACTACTCCAACCTGCCTAGTTAACCTAGTAATTAACCTAGTTAAGTCTTTACATGTAATTTTAAGCTGTATAAAAGTGTCTTAAAATATCTAGTAAAATATTGCTTACTGTCGTCATGGCAAATATACAGAATCAGTTATTAGAAATTAGTTATTGAAACTATTATGTTTGGAAATGGGTTGAACAAATATTTTCTCTGTTAAACCGAAGTTTGGTAAAAATATAAACAGGGAGGCTTATAATTCAGGGTAGCTTCAACTGTGCATTATCTTATTTTAAAAATTTGTTGACATTGCGTACAGTAATATCTGCAACAACTAAACCCATAGTGCTTTATATTTCTATTTTACATTCACAATACAAAAATATAAATTTTAAAAAGATTTTTTTTTTAAATTGGTGTAATTATACTTGGAATTTTGGAATTTTTTCACCTCATCAATGGGACGAATGTCATCCATATCTTGTTTTTGAGTGAGTGAGTGAGTGAGTGAGTGAGTGAGTGAGTGAGTTAGTTCAGTCAAAAAGACCGTCATGCAATTGCCCTCTGCTACTGTATGCAAGTACTGTATCTCTCTTCACTACCCTCCAACTATAAACAATGTATTTTATGAGGAAAATCATACCTGTTTGAATTTTGGAAATGCATATTGTATAAATTTTTTACCCTTGACATCCCATTATCTGTACAGCATAACACTGTTCTTGCATGTACTGTAGGATGACATTATTACTTTTATGCATCAATCAATTTTAATTTTGCCCACAAACACCATGCTGGACTCTGTATGCAGCACAGCTAAAATAGACTGGAGGAGAGAATGATTACAGCACTGCTGCAGATGCATCACTGCTGGAACCTGTGCAGTGAAAAAGCTGTAATGTTACCCTATGGTAGTAACTTGTTAATATACATTAGGGACAGAAAAGTACTGACTGCTCACACAGTGAAGATGTTGTGAAATGGGTATTAGTTTGTAATGATAATAAATGTTTAAATTTCTCCTCCTCCCTATGCTGTTGTCATTCTGCCGTGTCTTTTGTGTTTACATAATCTGTCCTGAGCTGGTTGTACATTAGTAATAACTAATAGTTTTTGGGAAAACTCAGTGCTGTTCAAGTTGTTAAATGGTGAGCAAAGCCTAGAGGCACAAAAATTAATAATAAAATAATAACAAAGTAATTAGACCTCCGTTACCCAAAGAATGGTTTCAGCCCTAAATTGGTACCTTGTTCAACATTTACGAGAAATGACCTAATGATAGGAACATCAGTGAAAGATATTAATTCATGCCAGTTATATGGTGGTCATGTCAGAGACAAGCTGCAAACCATTTATTTCACACTGGTCAATTAATAAATATAGTAGAAATTTTAGCAACATCTTAAAGGGGTGGTCCACTACGATATCATATTGTTAGCTAAGCAAAACCTACAACGAACAAAGTTTGGGGTTTTCATTTTGCTGTCTGATTCAGGCAGCTAACGCTGCTAACAGCTTTTCTGACTGACACTATTTACACAGCGCAAAAGCGCATTCTTGTAGGGACGTGACATGGAAATAATCTGCAGATCACAGCGCATTATGTTAGCTGACCAATCAGAGCCTTTTGAAGGTGGGCCTTTCAGAGAAACTAGGAAATATGACAGACGTTTTCATTTTAGCAGAGTAGCTGTATATAATCAAAGTAAGATTTTTGAAAAAATAATGTGATTTTCTACAAGTGAAGCATAAGCACAGATTGCTTTGCATTTTATAAACACAACCAAGCCTTAAAAATACACTCTGGACCACCCCTTTAAAACATTTTGCCACCAATGCATTAACTTATGTACCAGTATGTTGACTGAGTCAATAACAAACTAGCAACATGTTAGTTGATACTAAAAACGCCAACTATGTTAGAAATGTCCTAAATTATGCTAACAAAACAGTGATCATAACAAGCTTGCAACTTGTTCAAACATGTTTAAAACATGTCATCAAAAGCCATGTTAGAATGACATTATCAACATTATTAACAGTTACCATTAAAAATGGTTAAAATGTGCTCATATAGGACTTAGAGAGAGCACATACCCAAAAAGGCTGGGCATATGTATTATTTTTCTAAAACCTAGAGAAATGGATATGTTTGTGTGGACACCAGGCTCATCATCAGCTGTCAATCAAGGGTGCTGCCACTATCTGAATGGATGACTTGGAATGCAAGGACTTGAGATTGTTGAGCTAAAATTTTCTGTTAGTGGACTGACACAACTTTAGTTCATGAAAATACATTACCGGTGATGAGCTAACTCGCTAACCTGAACCATATAGAGACCCAAAATTACAATGTATGAATTTTGTGTCTTTTAATTTCATAGATGTATTAATGTATTGTTCAAGATGCTATCATCTGCATGTAAATTATTTGTTAGGGAATCCATTTGTAGCATTTTAATTGGATTGAATCATTATTCTTGAAGGCTATTGCATCAATCTTTATTTTGTTTTCATTTACACTCACATCCTGAATATTTATATTCGATATTTCAGAAAATTCAATCAAACATAACCTTTTAGTTTTTTTTTCTTCTTTTTTTTCTTGGGATTATTTAAAAATCCAGATCCTTGATTTTTACTTTGTGCTCCGTACATGTGAAAAACAAGCTAAAATGTATTATAAGAGCCTTTAAAGTCCACAGTCTAAAGAGAACCCATAGAGAAATTACTTCTAAATGTCTGGACATTGACACACTGCTATGCAAGCAAAAGATCCATTCACTGTTGATTAGATAAAACTAAAGATTTCCATCGAGCCGACCGCACTAATAAAACATCACGCTGCAAACTGAAGGTCTATAAAAATCAATTAATCACACTTAAACTGTCTGAGAGCATGAGAAGATATGTACGAACATAAAGAACAGTGCTAACCTTGAACAGAGAAACTGGGCTTTCTTTAACCACTGAACAACACAACACAGAAAAGCTCACAGGATTTCTCTACTCACCAGAAATAATGGAGGCAAGTCGGAACTCATCAGAAAGATGCATCGGTTCATATGGAGAGGTCTCATAGAGTTCTTCACCTTGAAAAGAACAGAACACAGAGGAAATAAAAGAGCTATTATTATTGTTTGGAATTTCTAAGTGTCATGGTTAAAACATGTCGTATTGGTCGGTTCATTAGTGTTCCAGGAATACATCTTGATGTAACAAAAGAATACATAGAAATTCTCAGTTCTTTCAAATTATACTTTCAAACAGCCAGACTGGTAACTCCAACACTGTTTCAAGTACGCACTCACTCCCTCTCTCTCTCAAGAATTACAGCTCAGCAGCCTTTTGTCCAGATTTGTACTGGCCAACAATCACAAATTAGCTCCCCAGTGTTGCATCCCATTGGCCGTGTCCAGAAAATCTGCTGTTTTCTAATCCAGGGCCTTGAGCTGTAGCCCACAAAGAAGTGCAACCAATCTGCTAACTGGTCCCAGCAGAGGCCCCGCTATAACAATGAAAGCTGTGACACTAGACCTTCAACAGATTGATGTGAAGCTCTCAAATGAAGACTTCCAGCTGTCTAGCTTTACTATGTTTTCCTTCGAGATCCATAGAAAAGAGGTTCTGTTGCTGTTTGGTTCTCTGGACGCATTAAACCATGGTGGACATTTGGGAAATACTTGTTTCAATCTGACCCATGTCACATCCCAGTCCTAAAGATCTCTTTCTAATATGGCCGGAGTATTGGCAGATCTTTTATTTAAAGGGGATAGTCTATCTAAAAAAAGGTCATATTTTATTTACCTCAATTTATTTAACAGTTTTTTTTTTTTTGACAGACTGTGTTGGGATAATTTACATCTAGCTGATTACTGCAGATAAAGCATAATGCAGAGATGTCTTATACCACTCGGAAGGGGCTCATAGACCATTTTAATGTGGTCATGTCATTGGCCCATGAACATTTCCTGCTTGTTTTCAAACTATTTCATAACTATAACAAGAGGCAATTCAATCATAACTTGATGTTAAAACAGCTAATCGAACATTATTTATAAATATGTGGCTCTTTTTGGATTCTTGGAAGCTACAGAAATAAAAAATGTAAATCAGGAAAAAAGTTGGGACCATTGTTTATTTTTTTATTTTATTTTTTTACATCCCTCAAAATGGTCTATAGATTTCAAAAGGATAACCGATTGCAAATCTCATGGTTCAGATCACATTGTTTTTTTGTTTGTCACGGATCGTACCATTTTTTCGATCAGCCAAAAAAGGGAGGAAACAAATCGTCACCTTGGACTTATAAGGTTCTATCTGTGTTCTGAAGCATTTTAAGATATTGAGCTTCAAAGTTTTTGCATTCCATATAGCAAACAGTATGTGTGTAACATTTGTTTTTTAAATAAAAAGTCTTAACCCTCTACCACATGCATTATGATAAATCTATATATAAAAAAAAAAAGATTCCACTGTTTTTCTTTTCTAACAATGGCTTAACTTGAAGTGCTGTTAGGGTTAGGGTTATTTCTTTTTTTGAGGTACTTTATGAAACGTTGCCATATGGCAACAACATCCAACAGAGGATCTTACTTAGAAATTTCAAATTTAAAACTTTCCTTATAATTAATAATTTTGTTGTTTGAAATGATTTAATTAGTGTTGCAGTATTTTAAGCTTTAACACAGAACTTTTAAATAACACCATATACATACTTTCCAACAACTCATATTCCAACAGCTTTCATTTATTCCATTCTTTTTTTGCTGAATATTACTAAAAACAAACCTAATATTGTATTATCGTGTATATAACCTATGGTAAATATAAATATTTTCTCCAGTAAATATTATAACAAATAAATAACAAGTCTAATACATCCAGATGCATCAGAATAATGTAGTTACTAGCTAACAATATGTATATATTATACTTCATACTATACTACACCTGTCTTATATGCATCTAAGCTAACTTAGCTAAACTGTCTCTATCAAATGTCCAGTCTGCATCATTCTCATGGTCATTAAAACCTATCTTATCCTCACTTTCATCTGCGGGAAGAGCCAGTTTTGTCCTTTTCTTCTTTCGCTTACCATAGAACATGGTGGTGCTTGCTAATACACTGTTCCCTGTATTCATATCTATTCAAAAGTAGTATTGCCATTAAAACTAATTTTATCCATAATGCAAATGCCATTAACACAACTAATCAACATTATATTACTAGCATTCAGGCTGTTATTGTTACAACTTAAAAGTTCACAGCTGACCTTGCTAGCTAGCTAATCCATTGCAATATTGCATGTTCCACTATTGCAGTGTTGCCATTTGGCAACACATACATTTCATTGATTTACAAAAAACTAATTTGATTTAAAATAAAAAAAGAGTTGTGAATATGTTATCATAACTTACTGGAGGTGATGTTTCAGATTTTTTGTGGATCTGACATAATTTGATCCTTTATTTTTATTTACATTTACATTTGCATTCAGCAACTACTCACAATATACGGCAGTCTTTCAGAAACCATGCTACTGAAAAATACACTGCATGTCATGTGACTTAATCAAAGCACATCATTTAAACTTTGTTGTGTTGGTGTTGAGATAAAGAAACACACCACATCCTAAATAACTTACCACAACTTCATGTCATCATTATATTTTACAGGAAAACCTTAATGCTGTCATACTTGTGATTTGAATGACACAAGAAGTGATCTCTTTGTGATCTTTACAAATTTAGAATTAATCTACAATTAAAACAAATAAAAAAATCTAATTCATGGGTCACGTGTGTTTCTAAAGTGTGGGTTGTGATCTACAGTATATGAATCACAGATAAACTGTGATCTGTTACACCCCTCGTGTTCGGTAGCATGTGCTTGGATGTAAATCATGCCACTTATCACTCAGCTACTTGCCAAATAAATCAATAACTATGCAGAGAATAATGACTTAAAATTAAAACATTGTATTAGCTTATAAAACAAGTTTCCAAAAGCCAATAGGAAGCAAATAGATTTGCTTTAGTTTAAGCTCAGTTTGGATGAGCCTGTGTTATACATTTTACCAGGTTGTTAATGAGGGGATAGAAAATCACAAAATGCACAATTGATGAATCAGAACCAAGTGTATAAATAAAAACAATGATCAGTGTTGCTTTCAGTGAGAATTAGACTTTGATTTCTACCGTTAAACAGTGTTTGTTATGTTTTTGCTTGCTATTAAAGTAATTACTTAAATCTGACCTTGACAAACTAAACTGGTGAAATGAACTGGAAAAGATTTCCAAGTCAAAAAAGGCATGCCAACACTTTCATGTTATGTAGTTTGGTCTGATTTTGTTCAAAATGACACAACACCATTTCATTCTTCTGTTCAATTCTTGATCTATAATATACAATCCTTATACTTTAAAAAACCCAGCACTTAATAACCACTCACTGTCATAGTTTTAGGCTTGTGACACTCTGTTGTGAACTCAAAAGTGAAGACTCAAAAGTCTTCAAGCAGGATTCTTTATTGGGAACATGCTGGTTGTGCTGCATTCATCAAAGTCTTCTTAGAAGTCTGACAAGACGTCTAACTAGTGGTCTGTGAGAAGTTTAAGAGAAGTCAAATAAGGGCAGTGTTGACCTGTATATTATATACATTTTAGGGGGTAGTGATACATAAAGGTGGAGGCAAAAAAAAAAAAAAAAAATGAAGTACAGGAATCAGGAATTTCCCGAGCTCTTAATACCATCAGACTTACAGTACTAATTCAAATGTGCTGCTAACAAGCCATTAATTTAGGCCCCTGCCTGATGGTCAGGAAATGCCTGAAGACAATAAGTTAATGTCTTGACACTTGGACTGTCAAACTCGTTCATTCTTAGAATGTAATTGTTACCTAAAAATGTAAAACTGTGTAAAATGTTCAGTTATAAACTACTATATTAAAACCTAGATTAAAAAAATGTAATTCCACAACATTAAGTCAATATCAAATAACTTACAGTGTTAAAAGCAGATTGTGCTGTTATCTTGCTGCATTTACACTGCATGGTTCAAATGACTCAATTCCGATTTTTTAAAAATTATTTTTCTCCTATGTGGTACAGATCAAATATAGCCCGAATGTGTAAGCAGGAAAAAAATCAAATGGATTCTGATTTACTGAAATCAGCATCAGGCCTTGTTCATATGTGGAAATTAATCTGATATGAATCGGATCCATGCACTCGTGGCTGCAGTGTAGGCAGGTTGATCGGATTTTCACCTGTCAATGTGAGTCACGCATCATTAAAAGCCATAGTGACGTAATCTCTGATGCTTTCATTTCAGAACAGACCTCAGCAGAGTCGCAAACCTTAAATCTCATACACGAGGACTAAAAAAGCTTTTATATTGGCATGCAGCACAAGTATTTAAGCATGATTCACGAGAGAGAGAGAGAGAGAGAGAGAGAGAGATAAAGAGAGAGAACAATATCTGACACATTCATTCATTCATTCATTCATTTTCTTGTCGGCTAAGTCCCTTTATTAATCAGGGGTCGCCACAGCGAATGAACCGCCAACTTATCCAGCAAGTTTTTACGCAGCGGATGCCCTTCCAGCCGCAACCCATCTCTGGGAAACATCCACACACACATTCACACACATTCACACACACTACGGACAATTTAGCCAACCCAATTCACCTGTACCACATGTCTTTGGACTGTGGGGGAAACCAGAGCACCCGGAGGAAACCCACGCGAAGGCAGGGAGAACATGCAAACTCCACACAGAAACGCCAGCTAAGCCGAGATTCGAACCAGCGACCCATATCTGACACATATCAAATATAAACTATTATAAAACTGTGGCATACGTCACATGCATAAATCACGCCACGGACATCACATTAAGATGCCTACTGGTTTAAAAAGGCCTGGATTAAAAGAAGATGGCCAAATGATAACTTTTCTGTCATAAGCTACAGTAAAACAACTCGTCAAAAAGATTTTTTTTTAAAAATTAAACACTCCAAACAGATTAAATAAGAAATGGAGAAAAGATTGCTCTTTAATTATCAGATATCAGTTAGAGCCTGCT